TCCCCTGTAGAACTGTATCAGCAGCTCCTGGGGCAGGTCGAACTTCCTGAGCTGGCACAGGAAGTACATCCTCTACTGTGCCTTCTTGATGATGGTCGTGATGTTGGACATCCAATTCAGGTCCTGGGAGACAGTGGAGCCCAGGAACTTGTAGGACCTTACTGCTGATACAAGTAGTATGGTAAGTGGGGGTAAGGTGGGAGGGTTCTTCCTGAAGTCCACTGTCATCGCCACTGTTTTGAGTGTGTTCAGCTCCAGGTTGTTGCAGCTACACCATTGCCTGCGGTATTATGTACACTCCCATTAGCATGAAACTGTTGAATTCATGGGGAGAGTAAAAGGGTTTGCAATTGATAACAAGAGACTAGGTCTGCAGTACATGTCCTCTGTAGCACTGTGACATCTGTGCACCAACCTTCATTTATGTAGAAGCAGATTCCACCTCCTCTCATTTTCCCCGACAGCTCCTTTACACGATCCGCTCTGTACACCTGGAAGCCCGGTACTTGAATCGCGCTGTCCACGATGGAGTCGCTGAACCAGGACTCCGTGAAGCACAAAGCAGCAGAGCATGCAAAGTCAGAGTTAGTCCTGTTGATGAGAAGAATTTCATCAATTTTGCTGACCAAGGAGCGGAGATCAGCCAGGTGAATTGAAGGGAGTGAAGTCTGTGTTCCCCTCTGCCGTAACTGCACCAAGGCGCCAGCCCGTTTTCCATGATGGCGGCATTTTTTCCAGGTCCCATATATTGCTGCTGCGCCTCCGATCCAAATGTCCATACAGCATTCTTCATTCACAGAAGGTTTGATTTGATTTAATTTGATTTGATTTATTCTTTCAAGCATGTAAAAACAGTTGATATGACAACACACATAATTTTACACATAATCCAATATCAATTTGCTTATACCTAGTACATGCTTGAATGGAGTAGGAAGAAGTCAGACTTATCCAGTCCTACCCCATGACATCATCTTACCATCATTGGTTTGCAAGCAGTAAATGATTCACTTCTACCCACACACATATTATACTAAAAAA